TGGGGTTTTGTGGAGGCTTCCTCAAGTAGGCATGATCAATTACTAACTCCATTTCCAGCCCCTCTCCCCTCTCTAGAGAAGTGGGGAGCGGGGCTGAAAATTCCAATCTTCTATTTATGGCTTGGTATTTCTCATGACCAGTCTCTTCCAGGAGCCATCCAGGAGCCCACCCAGAGTCACCTCATTAGAACAAAAGATGCTCCTAGTGCTCTTATCACTGAGGAATTTGAAGGATTTTAGAAGTCCTGTGATAGGGACTAGGGACAAGGACCAAATAGATATTTCTTATTCTAAATCACTATATCACACAGGCACTACTTTTATTACCCCACGTCTTATAAGACCCCCAAACTGCTAGAAGATCCCCATAACCTTTGGATTGTGGTTCTATAATCACAGAACCCTGGAACTTTAACCTTGGGTTCTAGGTCAGTCCAATCATTTCCTTTTATACAAAAGGCCACTGAGGCCCAGAGAAGGGCAGTGTCTTGACCAAGGTCACGCAGCAAGTAGGAATTAGGACTGAAGGTTTTGATTTGTAGACCAGACACTAACACCTTTCTCCAAAAGATTGGCCTGTTGGGACTCCCAGGTGGGAGGGCCTTCGCTCCACTCACTTTGTCTCTGGCCAAGCCAGATAACCTTCTCCTGAACTCATTGCATCCTTAGCTGAGTTCATTGCCCAGGATTTCCCAGTGTAGCCTTGGACCTTGAGAGGAGCCAAATACCCTCATTTGTGAGGTCAGGGCCACATATAAGTCACATCCGGGCTTCTGGCACCTGGCTCTGAGCCTGGGGTCCAGAGGCATCCATGCCCATTGGACCCGCAGGCTGAGAATGCACTCTAGCAACAAAGGCTTGGTTAGAGAGCCTTGGGAGAAAGAGGAGGAACGGGGTGGGGTGAGGAGGACCCTGGACATGAGATCCAGCTCTGCCACTGATGCTGGAGGCCCTTGAGCAGACCCTCCTCTGGGCTGAGCGTCAATTTCCAATCTGTAAAATGAGAGGATTCTGGAATTGGAGGTTCTTTCTGAAGCTTACAATCTAGAAGGTTTTAAGAGGAGTGGCAGAGAATCAGGCCACCCAGAGAGCCTTGGGCACCAGCTGGCCTGCTCGACTGAAGGATTTCTGACAAAGCCTCTTAGGGATGTTTTCCTCAACAAGAAAGGAGATGATGATTGACTTTGGGAATTATATAAAAATGTTCTTGGGTGAAGAATTTTGCAGAACAATCATTTCTTTCTGCTTAAGGCAACTACTGTTTCACCACTTCAGCTTTGGGGATGTTGTGTGTGTTTGTGTGTGTTCCTGCCTCATACCCCAGCTTACTGGGGAGTGGACACAGGAGTGGAGTCGAGGAATCTGGCTTCAGCATCCTGATGTGGCAGCAGGACCCAGAGTGGGGTAGGAGACTTCAGACTGGTATCCAGCTACCTGGTTCTAGGATGGGCTTGAGAAGCCCCTCCACCTCTGCACCCTCACCCCCTCCTAGGAGTCCCTTCCTTTGCCTCCTCTTCCTCTGTACGCCATCCTACTCCCACCACAATACTCCCCACCCTCAGCTGGAAGCATTTGATGAAATCAGAAGGGCCCTGGGTGAGTCTCAGTTCTGCCATCCAGCATCTGGGCAATTCCCTTAACCATTCTGGATCACAACTTCCTCGCCTGCAAAAAGCAATGAATCATTTCTATCCCTGAGGGCAACAGTGAGAATTTAACGTAATTCCTACTGCCTAGCCAGTGGTGGGAGCATGTGCACATTTGTTCCTTCATGTACTCATGACCAGAAAGGAAAGGGGTAGCAAGGAGGGAGAAAAGGAGGGACTTGGAGGGAGAGAGATGGCAGGTGGGTGAGATGCGACAATCTGGAATACACCAGGTGTTTTCTTCCACTTAGCCCGGAGAGGGGCCAGGAGAGGACAGTGAGGGTGAGGGGGCTGGCAGGCAGATTCATTCATCCAATCAGTCTGTCAATCAACAAATGTTTATGGAGCCTCTACAATGCATCAGGCACTGTCCTAGGTGCTGGGGATACAGAGATACACAAAGGGCCGAAACACAGCTCTTCTGTGAACAGCTGGAAGGGTAATTTCCAGGGGCCTGGGGACATCAGAGTGCTCATGAATGGCTTTCATCCTGTCTTGCTCCCAAACTTTCCACGTCTTCCTGCTGTCCATGGGGCAAAGCTCAGACTCCAGCCTGGCACTCACAGCTCTCAGCAATGTGATTCCAACCACTCCCCTACCTTCCCCACCCTCTTCACTTCCCACCTCCAGGAGGACAGAATTCCTTCTTGTGGACCAAGGTTCCTGGTCTGGGCGTCTGTGAGCACACCACTTCCTCTGCGTGGTGGCTCCTCCCATCTCTGCTGGGGAAATTTGCCTGGTCTACTGGGGTCCTGTTCAAAATGCCGTCTTCTCTCAAAATCTTTCCTTGGGCTCTCCAACAGCTCTGAGTTCTCGGCACTTGGTCACACCCTTTTTGGTGACTGGCACAAGCCTCCTTGCATGATGACCTGTCCTCACCTGGACAGCCGACTCCAGGAGGCGGCATATGGGTCTTACCTGGCTCAGTGACTAATGCATACTTGCTGTCCATGTGGTGCTGGTTAGGGCTCATTGAATGAATGATCACTGAATGAGTGAATTCTTTCTTGTTCTGGCCTCAGTGCCAACTGGAAGGAGAAAGCAGAGCACATGGGGTGGGATGGGGCAGTGGGAAGAAGATGGACTGGGGGGCCAGGCCAACCCTTTTTTCATCCCGGCTCTGTCACTAGTGTGACCTTGGATGGGCCACTTCACCTCTACATCTCAGTTTCTTTATCAGTATAAAGGGAGAAATAGACCTGCCCTCTGGACTGTGGCAAGGATTAGAAATTAGATCAAGTGCCTAGCACATGGTAGGCACTCAACAGATGATAGCTATGATTGCAGTTAACATATTAAGTCAAAAAGGATGCCTAACGCCCATCAACTGGTGAATGGATAAATCAAATATAGTATATTTATACAATGGAATATTATATGGCAATGAAAAGGAATGAGGTATTGACACATGCTACAACGTGGATGAACCTTGAAAACAATATGCTAAGTGAAAGATGCCAGTCGCTAGAGACTGCATACAGTGTAACTCCATTTATATGAAATGTCCAGATGAGGCAACTCTCTAGAAGCAGAAAGTAGATTAGTGATTGCCTAGAGCTGGGCAAGGTGGTAGTGAGTGCTAATGGGTAAGGCGTTCTTTTTAGGGTGATGAAAATTTTCTAAAATTGATAATGAGTGTACAATTCTGAATATGCTAAAAACCATTGAATTGTATACACTTTAAATGGGTGACTTGTATGTGAACATATCTCCATAAAGCTGATACTAAAAAAGTTGTCTGGAAAATTGCCTTAATCTTAAAGGTATAGACAAGATCAATATATTTTCCCTGAGTTTTAGTTGGAGAAATAGAATGGGATATTGAAAAATCTTTGTGGTACATTTAAATACTTTGAATTTAAGTCAGAATTACCATTTTTTTTAAGAAAAGTGTCATTGGATTAAAAAAGATAAAAAATTGTGTTAAAAACTTCAAAAAAGGAAAAAGATGTTTGGATCCCTCAGCAAGTGTAGGAAACACTTGGATCTAGAGAGAGAGAAGCGCAGCTGTTTGCACAGCTGCCTCTTTCTGCCCCAAGAGCCCCTTGCTGCAACTTCTTCCTCAGATGGGACCAACTGCTCTTTTAAATGAGAAAGCAAGCAACAGGAGTTTCACAAGTTTTGGGTTCCTGGTGCAACCCTCCTCTCAAGCTCCATCCTCAGCAGAGAGGAACTGGAGGCAAGTCTCCTCCTCCACAGGCTGTGGTGCCGGGTGGGGCCTCTCCTGGGGCAGAGGACACTTCCATGAAGAGCAGAGTGCCTGCAGTTTAAAGAACAGCTGGACAAGTAGAATAAAATAAATCAACAGCTGACAGCCGGAATCAGGAACTCTGTGTGACAATCTCCTTTCACCCGCCCCATTTTACAGATGAAGAGAGTTAGGCTCTGAGCAGCAAGTTATGTCCAAGAGCATCTGTCTGGCGCATTGTGGAGCTGGCGTTTAGATCCAGATTTGTCTGTCTCCTAAGGTCACGTTCATTTTAGGTGTTACCGTCTCTTTACATTCATTCTTACGTCATAAACATGTGGTGGTTGTAAAAGAAGTCAGAAAACAAAGAAGTGCATGAAAAACAAATATCGTTGTTAACTGCACTGCTCAGAAATGACCATGGTTAACACGTTGGTATGTACGCCTCTCTTCATGTGACTATGTGTGTGATAAGGGAAACGATCTCATAGACTTTTCTTTGTCATCAAATAGTAGTCCAAAACGTGATTGTAAGTGGCTGCTTACAAGCCCAGCTTAGGTCGATGTCACATTTTATTCATCCCCCAATCACCCCATCCTGGCGACTCCCCTCACTCACATCTTGGGACATTGGGCCCGCCCCATTCTGTTCCCCCTCTGCTGCCTCAGCTGGCATGGGGGCTGCCTCCTGACAGGGAACCGTGTGTGCAGCCTAGGTCAGCACACTGGAGAGTGTGCCTAATAACAGAACTCAGGGGGCCAGATGTTGCCAGAGAGCCACCTTTGGAGCTTCTAGAGATGACGTCCATCCATTCATCATCATGTGTGAATCTGGTGCTAGCTGTTGTTCAGCCAAAGGTGTTGGCTGCCCGCTTCCCAGGTGCTGTCGACCCTCTTCCCTAAATTTAAAGCTTGGGGCAAAGACCCCAGTGGTTCTTCCTGGAGCTCCTCTTGCTGCCAGACCCCCAGCGGATAGATGATCCCCAAATGTGTTGGGTGTGACTCCAGGGCACAGAGAGGATGCCTCCTCTAACAGTCTTTGGAAAGGACACTGCATCCAGGTATCAAGGCACGGGCTCCGATCTGTCTATTCTTTGGCGATGACAATTTCCTGGGTGGGACACATCTGACCCCTCCTGGGCACACTGCAACCCACGTCTCTGTGAACAGAGGGGCTGACTCACTGGCAGGTTCATTAAACCCAGGGCCACAGCTAGTGGTCTCACCAGCCCCCACTCCAGGGGTTTTGATTTCTTTTTTCTAAACTCACACATGTGCTTATCGGCCTTTCAGCATTCTGTTTCCTGAGTCCAATGTTCCCTCCCAGGCCTGAAGGTGGACTCAAGCAGTAGGTGCATGAGAAAGGCTCTGGGCTTTGCAAGTGCTGACCAGCTATGTGACCTTGAAGAAACCCTTAATCATGTGGAGCCTCAGTTTCCTCCCCTGTAACGGAGAAAATAAGTACCACGGGGACTCGTAGGGAGGACTAGAGAGAACGTTTGGGAATAATAGGTGAGGCAGCTCGGGCTCTGCGGCTGGACTATCCAAAACCAACCTCCAGCTCTTCCCCACACAAGGTCTGAGACTGAGATTCACGGTGCCTCAGTTTCCTCATCTGTAAAATGGGGATAACAGTAGGACTACATCATGGAGTTGTAAGGATTAAGTCAATCAGTGAATGTAAATCACTTCAAAGAGGACATACAAACCAACTGGCATGTGTGACTGTGGATGTTATTGGTACAATCTGAGATCCCCTGAGGGGAGGGCGGCAAAAGGTGTGTCTACATTTCACTCCTGGTGGAGCCTGGTATGTCACCACCTGGTTCAGGACAGAAACCACTCTGCAGGCATCTGCCCAAGCTGATTTCTCCCTAACAAAACAGCCTAGATTCTCTTGTAGCCTTTAGAATGGGAACATTACGAAGGGAAAAAGACTTTCTAATTACCCCAAATCTTAAGCCAAAGTCAATGAAAAACATCAATCTTCATATCCAATTTTTGTACTACTCTGTTTCTCCAGGAGTCAATGTGGAAAACCCATGATCACAGAAATGGGAATCATCAGGGGCTGGGCTGTACATTCCTTCAGGAGCCAGGGGCTTGGGGTCAGAGATGGCTGGGGCTGGGGAAGAGGACAGGCATGCAGCCCCGCATTTCCTTCTCACCTTCTCAGGCTGCTTGTCCCTGACCGAGTCATAGCCGCTCAGTTGCCTTTGTCTCCTCACCTGAAATGGGGGTATGGAGCCCACCTCAGAGAGTAGTAAGGATAAATGAGACTCCACATGAACAGCGCTTGGCCCTGGCACACAGTGGGTCCTCAATTAAGGGCAGCTATTAATTTTTATTATATACAAAAAATCACATTAAATCTCAAGGGCACCATTTAAAAGTGAACTGGTTTAGTTTTCCTTACTTGGAATGCACCCACCCAACCCGTAGTTAACTCCTACAGTTCCTTCACCTCTCTGCTCAGACTTTCCTTCTGTTCTGTTAACTAGAACAGATTTTCTTCACACCAGGCACCTCTCCTGCATAGAGCTTGT